TAAACTTTTGCTGTAAAGGAGGCTGCATACATTTAATCTGAGCAACTCTAAATGACTTGAAAAAAAATCCAGTAAGACTATGTATATGGATAGCTTGACTCCTCTGCATGTATTGGATTTTAATCCAAGAGGATTACATGATTCCAGCTTTGTTCAGGGATAAAGGAATTCAATTATTCATCCATGAAGCAGGAAGGCCTCAGCAAGCATGGAGAATCATGTTTCCCTTTAGTGTCTAACCCTAACCCTGATCTTTGGCACCATCTAGTGGCTCAACCAGCGGAGTGCATGAAATTCCTGAAACTGTCTCAGTGTGACTTCAGTCACTAGATTTCATTTTTTTTACTAAAAATATACAGTGACCTGTTATTATCATCAATATGACAACTATAGGCTCAGTGTTTTGTTGCAAAAAAAGCCTCCAGTGTTCAGTGATGAGATCTGCAACAGAGCATCTCTCTGAAGATCCTGATTTTGGTTTGAATTTCAAATAGAACTTGGAAAAAAAAAATAAACTGTAAAAAATAGTGATTTTTTTTTTTTATATCTCTCGTAGAAGATTATTATCCAAATAAAAACTCATTAAGAGACATTTTCTTACTTTTACTGTGAAGTGACTGAAGGAAAAAAAAAAAAAAAATCAAATAAAACTTACTTACCAAAGGGTGAGAACTCAAACATCAATGCAGTTTTTCCTTCAGCTGCCGTTGCAGAGCAACCGCAGCCTTTTTTTTTTTTTTTCTGTTTTTGAGCAAATACTCAGAAATATTTAGAGACTAGGTGTCTTGTGAAGAGGGGAAAACCAACGTCTGACTTCTAAGAGGCTTTTGATCTACACTCCACCTTTACTTCCCGCTCCTTTCACAACACGGTCATTAGTTAAAAATAAAAGTCCTTTCACATTTTACTATTTCTATGAAATTTTTATTCATATTTAAGCACTGGCGTCTAACATATTTCTTAAATAAAACCTGTTTTGTCACTCCTATAAAAAATATTAATGAAAAAGGGTGATAGTGCTTTCAAAAAGCACCAATAGGAGATTAGTAAATAAAGTAAAAAAAAAAAGCTGTTGAAACATCTGACTGTAAAAATCTTAATTGAAGGTCTCTAAACACAAGGATTAATCACATAGTTTGATGCTGATGACTTGGTGAGTTAAGATGTTGGTTTCTTATTGAGTGATATTTGGATAAAGAGGATGAATGAGCTGGAAAAAAAGAAAATAAATCGAACCTTCACATCATAGATCCATGTGAATGAAACCAGCTTTCTGTTTAGTGAGGATGAGGTTGTTCATCCTGGAATAGCTTCTTTCCTCCAGGGTTTTAAAAATTCAACTGAGAAAGTTCTGCCTTTTTTAGCACCCTTAGTGAATTTCCCTGACATTTTTCAACCTGATGGATCTATATAAATATGTTCTAGCCTGAAAACGCCTCATGAGTCCCTAAAAGTGGCACAGATGAACAGCCTGCTGAGTGGTGTTGAACCCTTAAGGTGGGTATTTGATCCTCTTATGTTTTTCATCTACTTGCCCTTGCTTTCTGGCCTTTTTTATTCCAACCTCTGCTTTATTTCATTTGTTTTATTTTCACAGTAAAAAGAAATACTATATGTTTAACAAAAAAATGTGATGAAGAAAAGTCTTGATAAAAGCCTGCCATATGAATATGCTTTATTGGAGAAATTGTGGAAAGGTTGGGGATTTTACTCACATATTTTGGGATTGCCAGAGGGTGGCTGAGTTTTGGAAAAAACGTACAAACAGAGATAAAGAGTATTTTAGGCCTTGACTTAAATCTGGATGTATCTGTATATATTTTAGGAATAATCCCCTTGAACATGATCGACGAAGATAATAAATATTTGATCGGAGTCATGCTTCTGACTAAGAAGAATTGTATAACACATGTCTGATCAATCTGGCCTCCAGGGACCTCGATGCCAGAAGTCTTTACTCCCTTAAACCTTCTAAACGGGGTATTGAGGCTGGAAGACTGCTTCCTTCCAGGTGGTACCTGACCCTTCTGACAATGGCTGTCCTCGGAAAAAATCAGTCATGGGAGAATCCTGCCGAGAACGCCAAATTTACAGTTAATCATTCAGCCTTTACTCCTCTGTATTCAGCCCTGTTCTGCCTGGACAGAGTGTGTTCCCCCCACTTACAACAATGGAAAGTAGTCAGAGTCAAAACAAACTGCAGACACTTTGGTTAAACAGTAACATGTTGGGAATAATTGAGAAAAATCTGTCTTGTTTTGGGAAGAAGCTATGTCTGGTCTACAAATACCATCCTGCAGAGAATGGTGTGGCCTTGCAGGTGAAACAGACTGAGTGAAAACGTTTATAGTGAGAAAATAGGATAAAATAATATAAGAAAGAAGAGAAATCCAAATTTTCCGACCAAAACCACAACGTCCCAGCATTACACAGTGGAGAGATAGAATTAGAAAAGTCTATATTATGGATAAAGGAACATGAAGACTACAACTAAAGATGGAGACCTTTCAAACAAAGTGGAGACCTATGACTAAATTCATGCTGTGATCTTGACACCTCTGTTTATTTATTAATTTACTAATTTATTTATTTGGATGTTCATAATGTCTACTGCTGTCCCTTTCACTGCAGGTATTGTGATTTATATATTGATTTATTGGAGGGGGTCAATGAATATTTTAGCCCCCAATAATCCCTGGATAACCTGTGGCAGAGCTGGGACCTAACAGACTCTAGGTTTCATGATGTAGGTGAAATGTCTAGAATGATCTGTGTAAAGATGTTGCGATGTGAAATGTGACAAGAGTGGACATGTGTATATGTTGATATAAAACAGTGATTGAAATAAAAAAAAATACAAAATGGACTGTTGCTAAAAAACCTCAAGGGGCTTAAGAGGTGACAGTCTCCATAGAAACAAGTATCCATCCATCCATCCATCCATCCATCCATCCATCCATCCATCCATCCATCCATCCATCCATCCATCCATCCATCCATCCATCCATCCATCCTCTGTCACGCTTATCTTAGCTGGGTCGTGAGGGGTGCTGATGCTTATCTCCAGCTGTCTACAGGCGAGAAGAAACAATTATATTTAAACACATATACGTGTTATGATAAAACATGCATTTCTTTATATTAAAGCGTTGATAAATTGCATTTAGAGCAGAAACCCATATGAAAATCTAGACTACATATAAGAAACAATTTTATGCTCTATTTAAGCTATTCTTTAGAAACCTCTCTGAGTGATGTTTCTATTACTATTAATGTCCTGAAAGCAAGCGAGTGTTCATGTTTGAATCTATTCAACCAAGCTAAAAATTTCTCTTCCTGAAGTAAAAACACACAGCTTCCTGGCGTATGATAATAGATCATAGATGATAATTCTATTTATCAAAAAAAAAAAAAAAAACCATCAAAAAAGTCTTTTCCATCTGGACTCTGCAGAATCCAAAGACTGATGAAGAAATGCTTTAAACGAAGGTGATACTCCTCAAACTACGGAGATCCATAACTTCTGACTTTAAAAAACTCAACATCTGAGATCCTTGTAGAGTAAAAAAAACTAACAAGATATAGAAATAATACGTAAAAATATTTATTTGTATATTCAGAGACCTCCTGTCCTTAAAAAAAAAAAAAGAAATCACACATAAATTGTATTGCGATGAAAATAAAAAGCTGTGGCCTTGAAGGTTGGTTATCAATAACTTCAGGCTGATATACATTAAAACAGGCTAAAGAAGACAGGTATAAAGGACAGTTTCTGCTGTTCACAGTAATCAAAATATAATTAAATAAACTATTAAAATAAATAGCCGAAAGCCCTTAAATGCGATGCTGTGATTCAAAGAAATGTGAAAAAAAAAACAAAATCAAAAATCAGTTAAACTCATCAGGATGAGCTCAGACCTCACAGCTGTAACTCCATTAGACAGCTAGGCTCTTAAAGCATGCATACATGGAGATGAACATTCAGGGTTCTAATAGTAAACATCTCAGGATTAAAACCAGGATTCTTATACGAAAAAATAAATCCTTAAAGGAGGGAATGAAATAAATGTGCAAAAATAAACTAAATCGCTCAGATTCACGACCTTCTGGTTCAGTTAAACGTCATTAATCAGTTACAGCGTCAAAACACTCGTGAGGAATACAGTGTCAGTTCATGTACAATAAACTCTGTCAGGTTTTGAGTTACCGATTAAAAAATAAAATAAAATCAGACAACAGAAGAGGTTGTAGAAGTTAAAACATTAGAAAACATCTTTAGGCAACAAACTAAAATGCAAAATTTGAATCTTGTTTCCTTCAACCATTATTTAAGGGTGTAGGAGGGTGGGGGGAAATAAACAAATGATGTTGCTACACGGAAGAGAGTCGGAGGATTCACACCTCAGCGTGATTCAGAGGAATCACTAAACCAAACGGTCCCACTGGACACCGAGAGGAAGTCAGAGTACCCAGAGAGAACCCACTAATGCAGGAGTCTGCACCCCTTCAAATATTAAGAGCCATTTGACAACAAAATACAATTATTTTGTTAAATACCTGCAATAGGAAAATGAGTGGCCATTTTATTTGACGATACTTTTATTTGCATTTTTAGTTTTTAACTCTTCGACACCAAATGCATCATATTTTAGTTTTTTTAAGCGCTTACATCATCAGTGTGTTATCTTAATTCTAGGAAAAAAACAGATTTATACAATCAGATTTATTTGAACAAAAAAAATCCATAATAAATTGCAGAGAAATGCCTAATGTATCACAAATGACACAAATAATTGATCAAACTTAAAGTTTTTCAAATTATTTCAAATTGTTCTTTTAATTTGTCAGAATGTTTAATGAAATTAATAAAATAATAAAAAGTGTAATTTTTTTTGTCACTTATTTCATAAGGTAGGCTTTACAGGGTAAAATAGATAAATGTTTCATAATTTTTCCTATTTAGGATACTATTTTATGCAAAAAAAACCCCACAGAAATATAGAAACATATTAAAAACATATTTCTGGTACGGTCATTCTGTTGTCTGTATAAAGTAAAAGGTATTTGTCAATACACTATATCCTGAACAGTAAGTTGGTGCTTTAAAGTTTTTAGCCACAGTGAAAAGCCATTGTAGAGTGAAAAGAGCCACTTGTGGCTCCAGAAGCGGAGGCTGCAGACTCTGTTCTACTGCGTAGGTAGATCCTGCAGACTGAATGCAAAGTGTCCCTTGGCTGGGGAATACAAAGCTATAACTGACAGCAGCAGGTTTTAGTCTATTCAATAACTAGATAGTGGCTTTCGTTTAAATGTATGAGCTGAATAATTCATTTTTGAAGATGTCCTGTTTTGCATATTACCTGAAACATGGCACTGGTGGTTTGTTGGCATCTTCATGGGTCAAATTTTCATAAACACGTTTTTAAGGAGCCTCGTCACGCACTATGACATTTCTACTCCAGCTGCACAAAAACATTCTGATAGAATTATTGCACCTCATTGAATTAGGATACTCTACTTCTGGTTATCACTGTTTTTGATCCAACTTAAGAGTTTTCTGTATACAATAAAAGACTCAGTGAGGTCAAATGCTCTTGTTATGGTAAATACAGTCATAAAACACAAGATAGGTCAGGTTAGGTCTTCATTTAAAACCTTAAACATAAGTATTTACGCATCCCTCAGAGAACACATTCTGTGAGGTTGGCTGTGCCTATACGTCCTGTCCCCCAAAGGATTCTGGGAATCATTTTAGTTCATTGTGGCTAGATGAATGTCAGGATGTCCCTATACTAAAGGAACCATCCTTACTGACAGCTACACTTCTGCTTGGGCTGAAGAGTCTTTATCGATTTGCAGCATTCAGACCAAACCATTGACTATGATCACATCCCTTTAAATCAATACATCAATGTTTTTCCAAATGGATAAAAAAAATAAAATATAGGAGAAACATCTTGAGTGAAAAATACAAAGATTTTTTTTCCAAGTTCTGACATTGATTTAAACGCTAGATTACAATCGTCCGACGCCTCAGATACCGTTTGACATCATCCCCGTGTTCAGTTTCATAAAGAACGATTTGAGCTTGCACAGCCGGCACGTCGTCTTCTTCCTCTTCTTCTTGGTGCTCCTGCCTTTCTTATAAACCCCCTGATATTTTCCCTCCTCCTCCTCTTCGTCGGCCCAGGGTACCCAGGCCTCTCCGTGCCTGCTGGGGTTGGCCCGGGGATCGTCCGGAGGGAAGTATACCGGCACAGCTGTCTGGTTGTAGTAGGCCAGTCGGGCTAACAGCTGCTGGACAACGTCTGGCCTCTGATCTGCCAGGTCCTGCCTCTCGAACGGGTCGGCGGTGATGTTGAAGAGCCAGATGTTTTTGTGGGCGGGGGATTTGTAGAGAGGGGATGAGGAACGTTCAAGGTTCCACCAGCGACCAGGAAGAGTGGGAAGCATCTGAAAATCAAGGTTTAGGATTATTTTAAAGTCGTAGGGAAACGGCTGTTCCAACCGTTGCATTTCCGAATTCTCCTGAGTGGTGCACGACTTTACACGAGTGAATAAAGTGAATGTGATTGGTTGATTATCGAGGGGAAAGGATTGTTGTGGCAGAAGGTTCGCAAGCAAGTTTGATTGTAGCCGGTGTCTTCGAAGCATCTTGCTAACCAGTTAGCAACTTAGTGCTAGTAGGTTCCAAATGGGAAATTCCATTGGGACCAAGTAGCACTAAATTGGTGACTTAGAAACGACACTGTCAAGGAACGCTATGGACAGAGGAAACATGCAAGAGGAGGAGAGTTTTGTGTTGGAGGTCGTGGATGAGTCTCCTCCGTCATACATTTTTTATTTAGAGGAGGAAAGCGGGGATGAAGATTTTGAGGAAGAGGACGCCAGGGCGGCAGAAGCTTGGTTTGGTGTAGAAGGCTTACAGCCGTATATGTTTGAGCCCTCGCCTCGCAATGCTGCCAGTTCTGTTAGCTCTACGCCTGCTGAAGACACAGACGTCCATCCCTGTGAACACTGGGACGGAACTCAAAGGGAAAGGAAAATGATTCTTATTTCAACCGTTGCTTATATTAGCTGCGACATATGAATCAAGATGCTATGACCGAAAAAATTTGATTGACAGATGACCGTTGATATATGATCGAATTTAGGTGTACAGGCTGATGTATAACTAACTGGCCTGCATAACATAGCAAAAATAAACACAGATTTTGTTTTTTTTTTGTTTTTAGGGCAATAGTGGCTCGTTTTTTTTTTATGGACACTAGGCTGACAGCAAAGGGGGTTTTGAGAGAGGGGAAGCGACATGTGGGAAAGGACCACAGGACAGATTCGAACCTGGGTCGCCCGTGTTGAGGACTAAGGCCTCTATACATGGGTCGTGTGTGCGAACCACCAAAGCACGCCCCAAAATAGCACAGATTTTAAGACAGGACCTTTTTAAAAAACAGAAATTTTCCAAGTTTTGGGACAATATTGTTTGTACATTTATATACATGTTTACGCAAGGATGATTTGACATTTAAATATGATTTCCCTATGACTTTAACCGGAAAAAAAAAATCCAGAAGATTATGAAGAACTTTCTAAAGTACCTGCAGAGGAACCCAGTCTCCATGACCTGGATCTCCTGTTAACAGCTTCCAGTCTCCAACCCTGATGGCAGCCTGCACAGATGGGTCCCATAATTGAGAAGGTAGAGACTGAGCTCTGGGTGTGGGGGTTTCATACTGGTTCTGGAGCAATGCCTGTTTGGACTTGGGCTTTAACTGGACTTTGAGTTGTTTCTTTGATTTGGTCTTAGCTGGTCTAGACTGAGACAGGTTGTGGTCCTGTAAGGTGGTCCTCTTGGATTTGGTCTTAGATTTATGCCAGAAAGCACCCGATGCTGACGGAGTCCCACTGCTCTGGATCTTTGGTTTGCTGTGGAGTTTGGTCCGATGTTGGGATTTGGGTTTAGCCTTGGATTTTGGAGCCAGCTTTGTTTTTGGGCCGGGTTTCAGCTCCACTTTGGGAACAGGTTTTGATTTTTTAGACTTTGGAGCAGGATTAGAGAAGATCTGGGGTTTCTTGGTGGTCTTTAACTTGGTCTCTGGCTTTTGATTTGGTTTCTGCTTCAAAACCTTTTTCTTCTTCTTTGGCTTTTTAAATGCCTTTCCTTTGGATGGCCCCCCTACCACATCAAATCAAACAAACAAAAACCACATGTAAGCAATCAATCTTTTAAGAAAAATGCCCAGAAGGATAACAGCAAATTATTAGTTTAAAAACAAAACAAAAAAACAGTATGTTAAATTCACAAGGATAAAACCGTTTCATGCAGCAGGAAGCTAAATCTCTGCTTTTAAAGAGGCTGAATTCTTTTCAGAGTCTGGAAAGTTTTTCAGCTCTCATTTCATGCAGTTTACCTGCAGCTGCTTTCTTTCCTGGCTGGTCACCCCGGCTCTTGGTTTCGGTCGGATGTTTGTGCAGCGGGTCGATGTTGTGGAGAACCTCTCTACGCGGAGACTCCTTCCCCTCGCTGATGGTGGGCCAAACATCAAACCCGTCCAGACCCTGGCTCTGGGCCACAAACACACACATAAGCAAAGGATTATGCAGGGAAAAATACTCCTTAATTTCTAAATAGAATAAAGAAAAAGACACAATTTAATTTATTTCCTAAATTCAAAGCTTCATTGATGTTTTAGAGAAACATGGACTTTATTTTTTCCAAGGTGATAAAATCTGGGAACTCATGGAGTTTGCCATCATACATTCAAAAGTGAAAATGTTTTTACTGAAAGCCTGAAAATCAAAGGAACTTTGAATAAACTCCAGAAATAAACAGTGCAATAAGATGTAAAGAAATTCTTTAGTTTCTAAACTGACCTGGCTTATGTTGCCTCCGGCCAGTCCCACCAGTGTAGGGAACCAGTCAGTGATGTGGAGCAGAGCTTTGGAGACCCGCCTCCTTCGTTTCAGCAGTGGGCTGTGTACAAACGCCACTCCACGGACTCCGCCCTCCCAATAAGTGCCCTGAAAAACAAGCCACAGTGTTTACCTGGAGATCTGGTGATTCATACTGCAGAGCTCGTATCTGTGCATCAGTAACTCGGATGCTGTTAGAAACATGGAGAGAAAGAGAGAGGTTCAAAAGAAACACACAAAAATTTAAATATTTTCATTAGATGGGATTTTTTTGTTATTTCCGTAGGTTTAAGTTTCAGTTCTCTTAGCTTTGGTTTCATTTAAAATACTAAAATACTCAATGTGAGTGTAATTTTTCTATGGAAGGAAGGCTTTAAATATAGGAAGGCAAGGATGAAGGATAGAATACTAGGAAATAATACGTTATAAAAGATACAAGGTAGGAAAGAGGACACAGGTTAAAGGAAATGTACAAGGAAAGAGGAAGGAGAGAGCTGCAGGATGAAAACGGTTTGAGAAAGGGAGCAGAATACATGAAAGGAATGAGGAAAGGACAAAAAGTGGGAAAGAAATGGTAAATGGCATGTACTTATATAGCGCCTTTATTCAAGTTAGGAGACTTGACCAAAGCGCTTTACACTACATTCATTCACCCATTCACACACACACTCACACACTGATGGTGGCAAGCTACATTGTAGCCACAGCTGCCCTGGGGCTCACTGACAGAAGTGGGGCTGCCGTACACTGGCGCCACCGGGCCCTCTGACCACCATCAGTAGACAATGCAGGTGAAGTGTCTTGCCCAAGGACACAACGACAATGAAAGTCGGAGTCGGGGCTTGAACCGTCAACCCTTCGATTACAGGGCAAACTCCTCCATCCAACGCCACTGTCGCCCTAAAATATAAAAGGAAGGAAGAGAACAAGGAGGGAATAAAGGGTGCAAGGAGAGGAGGCTGGAAGGAAACAAGGATGGAATGAAAAAAGGACACAGGGAAGGTGGTAAAAGAAGAAGGTCACCAGGAAAGTAGACAATACAGAGTGAGAGGAAGAAATGAAAGGATGAAAGAATGAAGGGAGGAAGGAAGCAAGGAAAGAAGGATACAACATATACACAAGAAAGGAAGGATACGTGAGAGGAAATGACAAAGGATACAGGCATGAAAGCAGTGGAAATAAAAGCCTGGAAAGAAAAAAATGAATACTATGAAAGAAGGAAATAAGAACAGACACAGTGAAGTAAAAAAGGTTACAAGGAAGCAAGGGGAACATTAAAAAGAGGGGCAGGGGGGATAGAAAGGTATGAGGGACACAAGGAAGAACCCAAACATAGATCAAGGACCCAAGTTAGGAAAGATGACAGAAGGAAGGTAGGAAATAAGGAAATATGGAGGGCATGGAACATGGAAGAGCAATGCATTGCAGTATTGAGATTGGGAATAAAAGAAAAACAAAATATTTTCCACTTATCCAAGCCTAGATGATACTGAAATAATATCTTTGATGTTTATCAGTCTGATTATCACAGCTCTAATAATTATACCTAGAACATTTATAAAAAGAAAGCACAAATATAGCATTAACACCAGCTAAATATATTAAAAGTCGTCAAGTTAAATCCGGTATCATACAGTCTACAAGTCTATTAATTACTAAGGCGTTTTCTCCAGTAAAGCCTGCAATCAGCTGTTTAACAATCATTCAGCTCATAGATAAGATTACTGGCTCAAGTTTGAAAACATTTCCTTCCTTTGTCTCTCATTGCAGCTCAAAGCTATTTGCCGTAAACAAGGGAATCCCTGCGTATCAAGAGCTGGGGGAAGCAGAACATCTGTAACCAGTGAGGGTTTATTTCATTAAAAGTAAAGAAGAACATCTTTAATTTCCTTGTGGATCATTTAAATAAGGGGTAATCCTAATTGTCAATCATTCTGGTGATATGTTTACAGAGCTGTCAATGCTCACCCACTGGGTGTGAGACTCACTCATCTCAGTGTTTTCACACACTCAGTCACACCCCAGATCCCCAATTTCTCACGCTAAAATACGACAGACATTAAAACTCAGCTCCATTCCACTTATTTATATATAAAAATTCCATGCTGATAAAAAACCAGTCCGCGTTTTCAACACAACCTTAGCACTAACACATAATGCAATGCCAGGTTTATATCCAGTCTGTATTTTGGCACCAGCCCACCTATTCACTGTGCTGACAGCAACAGAGGTGAGGGACCTGCGGCAGATAGTGAAAAAATGCCAGGATTTCTGAGCAGTTATTACGAGGTATGTAGGCAAGGCAAGGCAAGGCATATTTATTGTATAGCACAATTCAGTACAAAGACAATGCAAAGTTCTTTACATGATTAAAATATAGGAAAATAAGTAAAGAATCAAAGGAAGTATGAAAAAATAAAAAAAATAAAAAATGCAGAAACAAAAAAGAATATTAGAAACAGTTGGACTAAAGAAAATAAAAAAGTTGAACTAATGATGTTTCAGTTAAACTGTTGAACTAGAACAGGCGAAGGCAATCCTAAACAAATGTGTTTTTAGTCTTGATTTAAAGGAACTCAGGCTTTACGCACTTTTACAGTTTTCTGGAAGTTTGTTCCAGATAAGTGGAGCATAGGAACTAAATGCTGCTTCTCCATGTTTAGTTCTGGTTCTAGGTATGCAGAGCAGGCTGGAGCCAGAAGACCTGAGTGGTCTGGAGGGTTGATACACTGATAGCAAATCTGTGATGTATTTAGGTGATAAGCCATTCGAGATTTATAGACTAAAAGAAGTATTTTAAACTCTATTCTCTGAGATACAGGCAGCCAGTGTAAGGACTTTAGAACTGGGGTGATGTGCTCTACTTTCTTAGTCTTAGTGAGGACACGGGCAGCAGCGTTCTGGATCAGCTGCAGCTGTCTGATCCACTTTTTAGGCAGACCTGTGAAAACACTGTTGCAGTAATCAATTGGACTAAAAATAAACGCATGGATTAGTTTTTCCAGATCATGCTGAGACATTAGTCCTTTAATCCATGACATGTTTTTCAGGTGATAGAAAGCAGATCTTGTAATTGTCTTTAAATGCTTTTGGAGGTTCAAGTCTGAATCCAGCACTACACCTAGATTTTTGTCATTTTAATTTCATCTTATTTTATCTGCACTAAGATAATTTAATTTGTAAATTAATGTTAATTTAATTTAAGCAGTCTATTTAAGCAGTCTAGTGTAAGTGTAGGATCACATTAAAAGTTTTTTTTTGTATACCTAGGGCTTTTTGTTTTTTTACTGCGCTTTACTCCTTGTTTGCTTAAGTTGATCCTCTTGATTTAGTCCATGTTTTGCTCACAAGTTAAATAATTATTGCTCAGTTTACTTTAATAATCCCTGGTTGGATTTTAGGACTATTTAAACCAACACTAAACTAAACTAAATTCTTAAAGCTTTCAGGTTTGCCTCACAAACCCATAGGAGGTCCACAAATTGAAAAAGAACCATCGCATTTTATTTTTCAAAAGATCAGCCAGCCAAGAAAAGACCAACCGCATTCAGAGAGGATGTGCAGAACAACTCAGTTATCCAGGATTGATGTAAGAGGAACTACAGGGATGTTCTCATTTTATTATCAGTTATCTTCATCTATTCCTTTTTATTCTTATTTTGGTCCATTGAATATTTTTAAAAACTTGATTTCCATCACATCCACCAAAATCAAACATCTACAGAAGTGCTGTCTCCTCTCATAGTGAGTTTTTATAGAATATACAGCCTTTTAGCAGAACTGAATTTATTTGCTGTTTTGTGTTTTGTCAGTTGTAAAAAAACAACAACAAATAATAAGACAATAACTTAAGATTTTTAATCCTTAGCCTATTACCAAATATTCATACACAGTGTAGTTTGCACAGGATTCAATTTCACTGGTTCCTGTATTAGTGTCAGTAATCCAAAAATAACTTATTAGTTACCTATTTGTTATGTTACTTGAATTGCATAGAATAATTAATGAAATTCTTAGTTTACAGTATATTTAAGATGCAAGTATTTTAGTATGGTCCATTTTCCACATAACTACAGATCACTTATCTTTACACAGTAACATTTACTTAGCTATAAAAATTCAACATTTTACAACTTTGTTTCAGTTAAATCCTCTGAAAACCTCCAACCTATAGCTGCGCCTGTCCTTATCTAACCCTGACCAGGCTTGCATGTCCAAATTCTTTCAAATTCTCACTCCAAGGTTTGGTGAAAAGTTGGCAGCCCTGTGTTTATGTAAGGCCATCCAATGTGTTCGTCCCATCAGCTATATTTTTTTTTGCGCATGCGCACTTTCAGGCGTATATCTGTGGTCATTGAAGCTCACCTTTCTCACAGCGGTTCTTTGAAAATGGCTGAATGTCGTAAGAGAAAAAATGTCTACGCAGTGTTTGAGAAGAAAAGAATGGCCTCAGAAGAGGCAGATATATCCCAGAGTTCTCCATGCAATGCATTATCTGATTTTTTGTCCCAGCGGCCCGCTGTGACTTTTAACAAAGATGGCGCAGGTACCGCCCAATGGAGGAGGAGTTACATGACCAATGGAGAAGTGATCATCTGTCCAAAAGGTACGTTGACTGAGTTTGCCATAAAGTCCACTATATAGTCCCCGCTCTATATAATGATTGAGGGATTTAGGGGTTAGGATGGACGTTCAGACACAGTAAGATTGTATGACCTATGACAACAGTAACTTTTAAACAGAGCGTGCACGAGGAGAAATGGGCTTGTGCTCTCGCACAAGCATTTTCTTTAAAGTGTGGAGGGTGGGTCTTTTAAAAAATTTGAGAAAACAATACCTCTATGTAGGACTTTAAACCATAGAAGTAGTGTGCCATTTTTTCTTAGCACAATTGAAGCTCTACCTGTTTAATACCTTAAAATTGGAAACCCACCCAGATCTACCATTAACAAGGTCAAATAAAAACCTCCAGATGGAGCTACTTCCACCTTTCTGCCTCGTAGCGGCCAGTTGCTTCCTCCGGTGAACGGCTGGGCTCCATTGTCAGTGGAGTAGATGATCACACTGTTCCTGTAGTAGCCGTACTTTCTGAGGGCGTAGGTGACATTTCGGACGGCCTCGTCCACCGTGGAGACCATGGCAGCGAACTTCCTCCTGGCAACGTTAGCCATGTCCCGGTAGGGATAGATGTAGGACTTGGGAGGCTGCAGAGGGGTGTGGACTGCCTGGAGGAATATCATTTATACTTTTCATTTACATGTTTCATCACAGCTTATAAAAAAGGCTACTGAAGATGTCAAGATGTTTATTTCTAAGACATCCCAAATCACAGTCAGAGAAGAGAAGTTAAAACACATCAAATATAAATAAATGCAAGTTTAAATAACTCTTCCTGTGTCTGGTTTTAATTATGCAGCTGTTTGAAAATGGAAAAATGTTTCTCAAAATGGGACTCAGATGTTAAAGTCGTAGGGAAACAGCTGTTCCAACTGTTGCATTTCCGAATTCTACTGATTGGTGCACGACTTTACACAAGTGAATAAAGTGAATGTGATTGGTTGTTTATCAAGGGGGCGGGATTGTTGTGGCAGAAGGTTCACAAGCACATTTGGTTGTGGCCGGTTTGTCGGAAGCATCTTGCTAACCAGTTAGCAACTTAGTGCTAGTAGGTCCCCAGTGGGAAATTCCATTGGGACCAAGTAGCACTAAATTGGTGACTTAGAAACGACACTGTCAAGGAACGCTATGGACAAAGGAGACATGCAAGAGGAGGAGAGTTTAGTGTCGGAGGTCGTGGATGAGTCTCCTCCGTCATACATTTTTTATTTAGAGGAGGAAAGCGGGAAGAAGATGTTGTGAAAGAGGACGCCAGGGCGGCAGAAGCTTGGTTTGGTGTAGAAGGCTTACAGCCGTCCATGTTTGAGCCCTCGCCTCGCAACGCTGCCTGTTCTGTTAGCTCTACGCCTGCAGAAGACACAGACGTCCATCCCCGTGAACACTGGGACGGAACTCAATGGGAAAGGAAATTATTCTTATTTCTTGTTTGAACCGTTGCATATATTAGCTGCGACATATGAATCAAGATGCTATGACCCAAAAAATGTGATTGACAGATGACCGTTGATATATGATTGGTCGAATTTAGGTGTTCAGGCTGAGGTATAACTAATTGGCCTGCATAAGACAACGAAAGAAAACCCACAGATTTTAAGACGGATTTTCTAAATTTTTGGACAATATGGTCTGATAAAGAGTACATTTATATACATGTTTAAGCCAAAATGATTTGACATTTAAATATAATTTCCCTATGACTTTAAAGAGCAGCCAGAGAGGCTCTTTAATAAACACCGTGTCCACCAGGCTGTGATATCCTGGCTTCACCATCGTCTCTCAGAGCCATACCTGCAGGGAAAGCAGCAGGAAGAGCGGCCTGTCCGTCAGGCTGTGACTCTCCAGGATCTTTCGGGCTCTCTGGGTGAACAGCGTCGTGGAGTATTTTCCTTCCCGGCCCCATGCTACGTTCTCATTATCATGGAGGTCGTAGCCACACAAACCAGGGCCGTCGCAAGATCTATAACTGAAAAGTAGATGGAGCAGGTAAAAGTAAGCAGAGGAAAACTAGATTCACTTTTTTTTTTGTTCTGGTAGTTACTTTATGCTAACCTGTAATAATCCACGCTCCCCGTTAAGGAACCAAAGAAAGTGTCAAAACCTTTCCTGGTGGGTAGACAGGCTTTCCTGCAGAACAAGTAAAAGGACCATCAGATTTTGTAGATTTTCGAGACCTTTGAAAGAACACTGCATCATTTAGTCAAAGGTTTACAGGTGCAGCTCTAACAATGGCTATATTTCTTGCACCATTATCACCATGAGTTAGAAAAAATATTTAATAGGTGCTATATGGAGCTTAAATATTATGTAGGGCAATAATAAAATAAAATCATGTATATAATGCAAGGCTCAAATTGTTTTACCTGTGAAATTAATATAGTTTTCCTCTGACAAAAACTCATCTCATTATTTGTGCAGTAGTTTTTTTTTTTCAGAGTGAATAATCAGAGGACACCTGCAGACGCTCCATCTCACCTGTAGAAGCCCAGGTGCCACTTCCCGACCATGTGTGTGGCGTAGCCAGCCTCGCGGAGCCTCTCAGGCAGGGTGTCCATGTTTGAGGGCAAACAGCTCGGCTGCCTGGGTCTGATAATAGAGTGCTGTAATCCTGTGTGGATCTGATATCTCAAAGAAAACAAGATCTGTCGTTTATCCCTCACAGTAAGACAACAGCAATCATCAGCTGAGCGGTCACGGGAATGTTTCAACGCTTGAATTAGAGCCTCTGGCTCAGCTGCCATCGGTTGTTTGCTCAGTCTCTCTAAAGCATCTGTTACCCATTAAAGGAACTCGCATGTGAGCACAGCTGTTGGTAATTGGCAGGATTAACATCAGTTGGATGAAGGACACAATCAAATAACATGAATAGCCTCAACACTGCATGAACGACTGACAGTAAACAACAATATCTGGCTAGATGTTTAAAACACGTGTTGAATTCCCAGAAGCAATTTCTCCAGAACTCTTTAAAACTGGGTTAAACATAAAAAAAAAATGTTTTAATTTACGAAGACAAATGTTTCAGCTAGCTGCAGTTCTGTATTTGAGCCACTAGATGTCACTGGATCCCCTATTTTTATTTTTTTTCCTTTTAATTACTGGATTGATTTTTGCTTTTTATTAAGTTTCCAACCAAACATGAATTTGACTCAGTATTTATTGTGTATATATCAGCAGAACATAAAATGTCTGGATGACATTAAATCGTCCAACTAAACCAAATAAATGAGAACCCTCTCTCACATTAAGGATGCACCCAATGGAGTCTGGACTGTAAGGAAGAAAACAAGGCTAATGGAAAATGTGCCTTCATAATCTTGTTCCAGTTAGTTAAAGTGTTGTGCATACCTTCCAGTGATGAGTTGGCTTCGTGATGGAGTACAGATGGGTTGAACATAGTAATTTTCCAGTATCACCCCCTCTGCTGCCAGTTTGTCCAGGGTTGGGGTCTTGATGGTGGGGTTGTGGTAACCAATGTCATTGAAGCCCTGCCAACGATTGATGTCTGCTTTATTCTTGTGCAGAAGCTACATTAACTTCCGCACTTTGATTTTATTCAGCTTTATTTTTCCATAGATGCCCTTCGATTTCCCTTGTTTTTATACAGGATTCCTGGTGCTTTTTTTTATTGTTTTCAGATGGCCAGGTGTTGCTGCAGTAAGAAACCCCAAATCATAACACTTCCACCATCATGCCTAACAATTAGTATTAGTTTTTTTTATTTCCTGGATGGTGTATTATTTTTCCAGTCATGTTCCAAGTTATTTCTTCAATTAGATTAGAGACTGATTTGTCCAAATAGCAATATTTTAGAAGTGCTACTTTTTGTCTCTGGTCCAAAAGAACCTGTAAAGCTCCTAGAAAAGTTGAACTTTTGCCAACTCTACCTGAATGTACAGAAATATACTTTTATTTACATTGCTGTAGGTCCTATGAGAAAATTTTGGGATTCTTCTCCCTGCATCTTATGGTCTACTTGTAGGCTGAACAGGTTGGTTTGTGCTCGTGCAGCTATAGTATGTAATTTTACCATCCACACAACTACAGGTGGTTTCCACGCACACAGTTCCAAGAGGAAAAACATGGTGGACGAGGAACAGTCCGGACTCACAAGGGTTTGGAACTAAAAAACATCAATTGATTTGGCCCATAAGCATCACAGTGAACAGCAGACTGTGAACAACACTTAGAAAAATATTATCATTATTGCTTGACATGAAGAAAAGGCATTAAAATACTGGAAACAACTGTATTTTCAATTTCTACATGTAGTGCCTACAAGGAAATGTTTTAAAGAATGACTGATTCAAAATTCTGAGATTTCTCTAAATCCTTCATTAGCCCCACAACCTCTCTGAAGGCCTCAGACAGGTAAGTGAATCTCACCAGTGTTAAGGCAAATTCTCTGTCAATGTTTATGTTAATGTCAATTTTGTGAGTATAGTAGATGTAAGAACTACAGTTTGACTAAAGTCCTTCACATAAAAGGGTCACGCTGAATAAATAAAATCAGAAAACACCTATTAAACCAACCAATGTAGGATTAATAGAGAGTTAAGTATGGGCACATCACAACCTAGCAGGTCTGATTTAAATCAGACTAAACTTAAGTTAAAAGTCAATGTGAATAATGAGCATTAGGAGGGATTTAAAGGACTGGAGAGACTCAGCAGTAGGAATATTCAGGACTGGGGGCTGTGCTTGGAGATTTCTCCGCTCTATTTGAGTTGTAAAAGTTTACGAGATCAGTTAAATAACATGATGCCAAATCAATAATAATTTTTAGAGAGTAAAATGATCTTGAACTTTACACGAAAATTAAAATGCAGCCAGTATAACTGTGCTAGAACTGGAGTGATGAGGTCAAGCCTTCTGGTAGACAATTCAGCATTGTTTGGGACTAATGCCAAGTCCAAAAGTGGTGACAGTAATCTGGCTTAAAACTTTCCTTTTTGAGTTTATAGTTATAGTAGCTCAGGTTATCCACTGCTATCTCTATAGTTATGCTGCTATAGGCTTAGACTGCCGGAGGACATAGGGACCCCTTTTTAATCATTCTGCTTTATCCTATTTCTATTCTCCCACTGCAGAATTCTTTTGTTCAATTTCTAATGTTATGCTCTCTCTGCCTTTTCTCATAGTAGCTTCATCTGGTCTGTTCCTGTTTGGCTGTGACTCCATCCTGAGAGAAATATCAGCTGTTCTGCTGCCATCAACACCTTTGTTTATAGATGTTTGAGCTTGGCCTGTTTTTCATCGTAGTCCTGTTTATCTGACTGACTGCATGTGCTCTCTTTCATCCTCCGACATGAAAGCTGGCTTGGAGCTGCTTGCCTGGCTATGTGTTGCCTGGACTGGCCACCTGTGGAGCTGATTGACAGTTGCCTTTTGTATGTCTGCTTCTTCTGTATGTCTGCTTCTGTCTCCTTGAACCCCAGATGGCCACTCAAACTGAGCCTGGTTCTGCTGGAGGTTTCTTCCTGTTAAAAGGGACTTTTTCCTCTCCAATGTCGCTACAAGCATGCTTAGTGTGAGGCATTGCCTTCTAGTCAATGAGTTGATGCAATCAACTGGTTCTCCCTCCTTCCTTATCTCCTCTAGACATAATGAAGGTAAGGACAAGAGTTTTAAGGTCATAGGGAGGATTTACCTATATGGCCATTTGATGTAAATAATAAATTGAATCTTTGACAACTGTCGAAACTTGCTTTCACATAACATTTTCTTTTCATTCATGCATTTTTCTTTAGTAGGATCAATTACCGCAACAGCGTCTTCACTTGTTTTCCTAAAAGTCCATCATACAGCTGCAGCTGATCCAAAATGCTGCTGCCAGTATTCTCACTAGAACTAAGAAAGTAGAGCACATCAGACCGGTTATGAAGTCCTTCCACTGGCTCCCTGTAGCTCAGAGAATAGGCTTTAAAATCCTTCTGTTAGTCTATAAATCACCGAATGGATCAGCAACTCAATACATAACAGATCTGTTGTCAGTGTATCGACCTCCCAGATCACTCAGGCCTTCTAGTTCCAGCCTACTCTGTACACCCGGAACTAGAACCAAACATGGAGAAGTTGCATTTAGTTCCTATGCTCTACTGACTGGAACAAATTCCAGCAGACTAGAAAAAAGCAGAAAGCCGGAGTTCCTTAAAGTAAAATTAAAAACCCATTTGTTTAGAGCAGATTTGTCAAGTTACAAAGTACAAATACTTCGTTACTGTACTTAAATACACTTTTTAGGTATCTATCATTTCCTCCATTACTCATTTTTCTTCCTACTTCTGACTTCTACTCATTAGATTTTCACACAAGTATCTGTACTTTCTATTCCTTACATTTTTAAAACAGACGTTACTCGTTACTCTTTGCTTCGGTTTAATGTTTATAAATATTTAATTCATGTCATGTGCGCCATCCAATGCAGATCATTGGCTCCATCCACATCTAGTGAAAACAAGTGTTGGATGAATCATATAACGCAAACACTCATTGGTTAGCTAAAGGAAATCATCAGAAGCAAGCAGGTGTTCTTCAAACTGCAAACGTGAATTGTCTATGCCCTGCTACAATGATGGATTCAGAAAAAGATGTAGAAATGTCTGAAAGGTTGGACACAGGCAAATTTTAACTGTTAACTGAGATGTTATTAGTTTAAGCTTGTGATCCAACTGTTTACCTGCTTTTATCATTATTTTTATCTTAACTTCCTTTTTGCAGCTTTTATTTTTATTGCATTTAATTTTTTTAATAATTTGAAGCACTATGAATTGTCTTAGTACTGAGCTGTACTATACAAAGATAGGTGCTTTGCCTTGCCTCAGAACTCTCTGATAATGAGGCCAGAGGAGCGATTAGAAGCAAGAGGGATAGCTAAGGTTATCACATAACAGCTAAGAGGGGTATAGTCAGCAAACGCAATCATTTGATTTTTCTTTGATGTCTTGCAGAGCATTAAAGGGATGCTGAAAGCCGTGAGAGACATCCAGGTTTAAAGGAAAATATATTTGGACATCATCAGCATAAGAAAGTTGAATCTTTATGCTGATGATGTCCAAATATATTTCACTGTCTATAACAGTGATTCCCAGAATTTCCTTCGTTTTCTTTGCTCTCCTTTGGATTATATAGACACAAAAAAATAGCTTTCTGATGGATAAAATCGAAGCCTTTAAGACCAACAATTATTTCAAATAAAAGCCAGAACTGTCAATTGTTTTTTCTGAAAGTTTAAATAGTAAAATACGGTATAATTCAACTAATTTTACCCTAAATAGACTGAAACTAGAGTTGTTTATTGTGAAGGGTGAAATGTCACCACAGTTAATAGTTTACAAATACTGAATACAAGAAGCTCATTGACCAATCCTATTATGCAAACCATCAAGACAGTTAGAATAAATATTTCGTTCTGAAACACGATAGTTCGATTGCTTAGGAGGATAAACCTTTGCAAAACACTCAGAAACTCACTTGATCGTCAATCAGGATGAAGATGATGTGCGGCTGCTTCCTGGTCTTCAGCCCAGTTCCACCGGTCTGAACGTTGGTGTTATTTATTCGGTCTGATTTGGACTGAGCCGACAGGAAGTCCCAGCTGAGGAAAATGGTCAGCAAGGTTAGAGCTGCCCACATCGTTACAGCAGGGCTCCTGCAGGGAAAAACAAAACATTAACACAGGACAAAATAAACACAACAACACAGCAGTGTCTCCAGAAAAGAGGAAGAAAAACACAGAGGGAAATGGAGCTGGAAAAATGTTTGAGTGGGCACTGCTTCACACAAGCATGCCATCGCTGGAGGACCGAGTGCGGATCATAAAACCACATTTGGGATTTACTCGCCAACTTGGCTGAGGCTCTGATCTGAAACTCATCCATCTGTTGGAGCGAGAGCTGAAACTCTCAGGAGGAGGGCCTCTAAAGCCTTTATGAAGCTGGGTAACAACTCCAACAAAGAGCATTGGAAATATATTAGCAGTGGCAGAGAGAGCAGAGACTGCAGGGCCAAGGGTTTCAACACAACCCTTTCATCAGTAGGTGGGATTATGCGACTGGATTAAAATCAGTCAAATCCTTTTAGCAAGAAGAGAAACAGAGATAGTCTACAGATTAATAATAATATATCTGTAAGAGAACCCAGAGGTCATAAAGAACTGTGTATTACTTTACATTTGGCTTTTAAGAGTAGCATAAATCAGCTTGAACTGGGCTGATAAAATATAAGAAACAATAAAAACTGTCTACTACTTTACAGCTGGTTTTTTTTACCTCCAAGGAAAAAACACTCCTAGTTGGTTCTGTTGTTACTTTTTAGAAAAAAGCCAGCAATTTTTTTTTTAACTTGGGAGAAAGTCCAGTTTAAAGACAGAACTGAAGTTGAATCCAGTGTTTTTGCATATTGTGGTTGTTGTTTGGACTCATGTTGAAGCTTAAAGTGAGCCAGATTCCCTTTTGTGCTCACAAAGTTGGCCGATAAAGATAGTTCTGATTTCCGCTTCATGGAGAAACAGAACCTTTGATATAGGAAAGTGGAGGGGCAGCCGAGGTCCACAGCTCCAGTGGGAGACATCTGCTGACAGGCCACCAATTACTGTTTGCTGGAAGCCACGTGGGGGAGAAGAAGAAGAACGCTGCCAAACTTTTGAACTTCTTCACTCTATAATGTTCCACTTTACCCTCGACACTCGATCTCCACTGAGAGATAGTGATGGCCAGTGGCGGATCTAGGCGGCAGCTACTTGGGCTACAGCTAGGGTCCAACCGTCCCTTGAAAAACATATTTAGAAATAGAAGTACGTGTCCCATTTTTAGTGTAAAAGGAACACACTTTGTCCCGTATTCCTGAGAGAGTAAAAAAATAGTCAGTAAAAAGCTAATGGAAAATGAAGAACAAGGGCGCGTTAGATACAAAACTTATAGTAAACTTGTTCCCGGGCCCTGTCCTGCGTTCTGACCAATGAGCTGACAACATATTTATGACGATCTAGAATACCATCATCCCATTGGTCGAGCCAAGTTTTGCTCACAGAGAAGACAGCGGAGACAACAGAGCGGTATGGGGGACGAACTGAGTCATTTAAATGCTGATGCTCCTTTATTCAGCTTTACTCTGCAGCACTCAAACACAAACATACCTCACTGCTGCAAGGGCTCAGAGGAAATGCAAGTGGAAAAAGTAGCCTATCGCCACATGATGTGGCATTGAGATAATGATTTTTTTCTGTTTTACAACTGTGGCCTACAGTCAGTGCATTTAAGTCGCAAATATGTTTACAAGTTTGCAGGTTTGCTGTTGCACCAAAAATTTGCATTATTTATTCATTGTTTTATGTTGCTTTTTACAGTTTGAAGTTAAGCAGGACAGGCTTATGTTTAATGTACTTATTCTGTTCAGCAAAGTTTGTTATTTTGTATTAAAGTGTTCCTGCTGGATATTAAGTTGTTTTCAATGTGTTCATGTCACTCACGAATATGCATCCAATTTAATGCAGATTTGACTCAAATAGTTAAAAAAAATCATTTCACATACATGGGGGCAAAAAAAAACAACAAAAAACACACACCAGGAAGGGTAAAGGCAATCAGCAGGCACGCACATGAGGTGTGCCTTTTTTTTTTCAGGGAGTTGGGAACCCTAGCTACAGCCCTACATGTGTCCCCAAGAGCCTCAGATCTCGCTTCTGAGCTGATCTGAGTAAAATGTGCAGTACTGGAATTCACCAGCATGCGCAGGAAAGCAGCCTGTAGCATTCCCCTGCAGAAGAAGTGTTTTCCTTTCATCGCTGCCAACTTTTAGGAGTCGAGCGCCTCCACGCAAAATTTGAAACGGATAGGCCAGTGGTGGATATCAATGGATTATATCAGGTGGCTAAAATATTTTATCTCCCTCTCAGAACATTGAGAAATAATGATCAAATGTCACCAAATCCACAGGGTCTGTTGTTAATGAAGAGAGGAATAAACACAGTTAAAGAGTTGCAGTTATTTTTATTTCTTCCCATGTTATGGAGGGGGAACAGAATGTAATGTAATGTATGTCTAATTGAATAGACATACATTATTTGTTCTACGTTTTCTCCATCTCTTCTTGTCCCTTTTCTTGTTATTTTCCTCTCTGTGTTTTGTAATCAGCTGACTTTTCATGCTGTCTCAAAAGGAATGAAACTAAGCTCACTTAACCGATTGCTCCTTCCTGTGTTTCCAAAAAGGCGACGTAAAGACATAAAGTAAATAATCCAGTCCTTCTTTCCACTGTAGACAAGCCATGATCTGCTTATCTGTTCTCCAGTTTCCATTCGTATGAAATAATAGCTGCATGAATCATGACAGCAGACATGATAGAGGAGAGCAGGAGGCGGGGGTTACCAATCTACTTGCTCTGGAGAGCAGAGTTCGGTGCGCTAGGTGCTTTTTAAAAATAAAAGCGCTAGAGGGTTCTGAAAAGTCGCTGAATACACCTGTGCCTGAGACACACTTAATATTTAAGCATCCTGATGGCGTTTTAACTAAGGAATTTTTTATCGAAAACATAATTAATGTACACAAATAAGTAATAACTGTATTAAACATACATGTAAAAGGAGTTTTAGGGCCCTCACAGGAACTTGGGGCAACAGGCAACTGCCTAGTTTTGCCTAATGGTAAATCCGCCCCTGGTTCAAATTTAAGTCTAACTTATGGAAACAAATCTGTGTCGCTGGGACTTGAATTAAAAATGCCACTGAAAGTTAAATGTTGTATGTTTGTACTTACTGTTTCAGTATTAAAATATATTCATAACACATTTTTGACCTAAAAAAATAATAATTGTCATTATTTCTACACAGTTGAAATTTCATTTGTTATTTTCTCTTCAAGGTAAAAATTCACATTACTATTTCAAAGTGGTTACATTTTCAATACTTATTTTTTAGTTTAATTTTTAATTTTTAGCTTTTAGAGAAAATAAATGAAATTTCAACTGTGTAGAAATAATGACAATGAATTTTTTTTTAGGTCAAAAATGTGTTATGAATATATTTTAACACTGAAACAGTAAGTACAAACATACAACATTTACATTTCAGTGGCATTTTTAATTCAAATCCTAGCGACACAGATTTACTTCCATACAAACTTGTTGTTCTTATCAAACAAGACTTTAGGAACACTTTCATCTCCTGCAGATTTCTAAGTGTTAAACTTTCTCCTTTGTCCTCAACTTTCATCATTCTAAAGATTAATTCAGAAAATAAGCAGAAAAAAGGCACTAACTTTAGAACAGTTAAGGGTTTATTGATATTTTTTCTAATTAAAATAATTCCTGTCTGCCATGAAACTAAATGTTAAGTTTATATCCTTTAACTTAGTGGACCTTATCTCAGTGTAAAGTTAGAGGAAGGAAAGCAGCAGAATGAAAGTCTAACTAAAGTGTGGCATGTTTGAACTTGTATATAGAACTGAAGGCAGAAGGTAAAGTTGGGTTTTCTAAATGATGAGAAGCAGCTGCCTGTGGTTCCCACTGCTGGAGACTAGAACACATATTTCCTTTGCCTGTGTGTGAATGCGCTCTGGAATAAAGCTGTTTTTGGGTTCATTAGAGGCTTAATCCTCTTTAAATGAGGTGGGTGATCATAATCTTATAATAATGCAGGATAAGAGCTGCAAGAAATGTTGTGAAAGAAAGCTCCCAAATGTAGAATTGATGTTAGAATCAGGCCCAAATCAATACCTCGATGCAGGATCAATAGGAGTGAAGGGCTCTCCTCTGATCTTTGCTCTGCTCCTCTTTACATCCTCATCCTCTCCGCTGTCCTTCCAGCTCCGCCGCGCTTTGCTTGCTGAGAAGTTTGCAGGAGACGCAGCATGTCCTCAAGGTTCTCCCTCAAGCCTTCCTGCCTTCCTTCGGTCTGAGCGTCCCGGCTGCCAAAGAGACGAGAAAGGAGGCATAAAGTTCCCCACAAAGCCCCGCACAGCACCGGGGCGCACTTTCAAAATAAAACACAGTCTGGCTGCACTGATTGGTGAGGTTCTTTCACCAGTTGTCAGGTCTGTCCACAGTACGGAAGAACGTTAGGGCCACTGAAAAAGGAAAAAAGTTTATTTTAGTTTAATATGGGGAAAAAAGTCAGAATTCTGACTTTAATCTCAGAATTCTGACTTTAATCTCAAAATTTACTTTTTTCTAAGAATTCGGACTTTTTTCTCAGAATTTGGACTTTAATCTCAGAATTCGGACTTTAATCTCAGAATTTGTTTTTTTTCTCAGAATTCGGACTCTAATCTCAGAATTCTGACTTTAATCTCAGAATTCTGACTTTTCTTAGAATTCGGACTTTAATCTCAGAATTCTGACTCTAATCTTAGAATTCTGACTTTTTTTGCTCAGAATTCTGACTTTAATCTCAGAATTCTGACTTTAGTCTAACATCATCAAGGACATGAAAAACTAAAGAAATATCAGAGGCTCAGAGAAGAGCTGGAGAAACCCTGGAAGGTACAACACTATCACCGGGGGAAAAGGCAGAGCTGGGCCGCAATAACCACCAGAAATGAAATGCACTCTCAGCAGGGCAAAAAACCACCAAGACACCTCCCAGGGAAACCTCCAGCTCCAGGGAGGCCCGGGGACCCATCCTTAAGCAACCCCCCAAGGACTAAACCAAGTGGCACGCTGTTTGGGCCCCTGAGGCAGTAACCCCGAAACTGGAGGAGTGGTTACAGCAGATCCCTGGAAATACATCCAACATCTTGCTCCAAAAGAGTGCAGTTCTATATATATATATATATATATATATATATATATATATATATATATATATATATATATATATATATATATATATATATATATATATATATATATATATATATATATATATATATATATATATAATGGCAGCCCACTGCTCCCCAAGGGGATGGGTTAAATGCAGAGAAGTAATTTCCCTCTGGGATTATTAGAGTATATAAAAAAAAAAAAAAAAAAAAAATATATATATATATATATATATAAATCAAAATTATTCCAGTCTAAATATTTTCACAGATTTTATATTTAACCAAACTTGCACACTGAAGGGTGATTATCAGTCCCTTGTTTCATTTTTATACTTTCCTGCTCTAATTTTGAAGGCTGAACTACTCCACTTCCGTTTATTATGACTTTATTTATGTAACTTTACAGTAAAAGCCGTTTAAAAAAAACCTAATTTTCAGAGTATACTGGGGGATTAGGTGAGTAATGGAGGGTTGGTATTTTCTAACTAGTCTTCTTGGGCCTGACTGGGACATCAGAGAGGAACAAGGACAGCATGGGAGGCTGGACTGACGGGAAGGGTGGAGAGCCAGCTGGCAGGGCCTCCAGAGGAATCCAACATAGTTCCTCCTTTATGCAACTAAATGTGGTGATAAAAAAACAAAAACATGACAAAATATATGAATTATATTCATTCATCAATAACTGGTAAAACAAATACCTTTCTAGAAATATATGCATGCTTTACCCTCTGTGTTATTTTATTTGTCCAAACTGCAATAAAATAATTCATTTTCCTGTTGGGGAGCTTCTGTGGCTGGAGTAACTGGATCAGGTTTCCAGGGAGCAATGTGAAAGAACCTGATTCACTGGCACTCAGTGAGAACATTGTCAGAAATTGTTTTATTTTTGCAGTTCTTCACGTCGCTCCCTGTGAAGAAATGGGCGGCATGTCAGGGAGAGAGCAACTCCTCTAGTTGATGTCTGGGGTTATTTTAAGGGGGTTCTTCCAGGTGTTTTAATAAATCTCTTAACATCTCCAGGCAACTCAGATCCAAAGTTTGAAGCAATCTTTTCAGACATTTTCCTATTCTCTTATTTATTTATTTTTTGACAATCTGTAAGGATTTCAGATAGTCTGCAGCTGGTCTCCTGAAATCAAAATAGCTCTCTAACAAACCCCCCAGATCCATAAATACACTAAGCTGTTGTTTTTGGGGTCCTTATAGGATTATACTTTTATATAAACCAGTCATTCATGGCTTTAAATTTATAACTAGGACTGCTGTCGAGCTGGAAGTCAAATCCCATCCAAATCTCACATCATCTACAATCCCTGGCAGAAATGATTGAATCACCAGTCTCTAAGGATGTTCTTTTACTTTCATTTTATTTTGTTGCAAAAGGAAGGCAGGCATGACAAAAAAACTAGTGTCAATTAAGTGGCCTAAAGACACACTTAAGGAAATAAATAAATAAAAAACTGTGGTATTTAGTGACAAGCACCTTTTTTTAGCGCCAGTTTTGTCTTTTTCCCTTTAAAAACCTCTCCATTTTTGAACACAGCTGACTGAACAACCAACATCTTTTGCAATGTCTCTCATGCTGAAACCATGATTCATCTCAGTTCACTTTGGGCAACAACTCTCCAAGATGTGATCACTCATTTTTAACTGCAGAACAGCAAGAAGATCTAATCTGATCCAGGTGTTTGTTCTGGAAATGAAAAATGTCAAGGTTGTTTCCATAGTTTTTTCTTCAGAATTTAGTGATCCCATGTTTTTTTTTTCTTTCTTCCTGCTTGAACTAATAAAAGAATGACTGTAGTTTTGTGTCAGTTAAGATGATCTGAAATCTTTTGTTTATACATAATGTAAACATTTTTTTTTTTTAAAGTGCAGATTGCTAGTGGATCTGCATCCTTTCTTTATAACTCTTTATCAGCATCTCTAAAGCATCACAGTACAATTGCCATGTTTCTCCAGGCCTAGAAGAAAGTGAAGTATACATTTGTATTTTTATTCTTACTATTATTAAATTGGCAATTAAAGGTTAAATCTACTGCTAAAGATCTATTGACCATTGGCTTGTTCTTTGTAATGTTTCCTTTTTCTAAATCTATAGCTTTTTTAAATAGCTAAACTGAGAAATAATTTAATAAAAAATCTAATCATGCAAAAATTTTATTTTATTTTGGAAATTGAACCTTAATATTCATATTTTATATTTTAGATCCAAACTTTAACTCTTTATAAAATTAATAAGTGGCAGCAATATTTTACTAAAATCTCAACTTTACCTTATGACACAGAGAAAACGTTTGTATGGAAGCCTATCTCCGCCAATCTCATAAGCTATGTCATACCTCATAATAATGAGTTACTATCTCTAAACATGAGCCATTATCTTATAGTTATGAGATATAATGACTTTGACTTAGAATAAAATAGAAAATCCCTTTTTTACCTACCTCATACTTTTGCAATACTATTTTATAATGGTGATATTATGAGATAGTATCTCATAAGTATGACTTATTGATCTTGTGCTCAAGAGATATCTCACAATAATGAGATACTATCGCGAATCATGAATTAAGTAATAATTATGATTTATTACTAGCCATGTCATAATTCAGCTTTCTCATAATTATAAGAAAGTATCTCATTATTATGACATAATGTCTCATATCTATGAGATGAAATGAGTATGAGATGTTACATCAGAATTATGAAATACTTAAATCACAATTATGAGATAATATCTCAGATAGTATCTCATCATTATGCCTTAGAAATCTCTTATGAGATAGTGAAGTAAAAAATAAAGAGATCTCATCATTTGGACTTAGCTATCTCAAAATTATGAGATAGTTAAGACATGGCCTGAGAGATATGAGCCATTTTTATGAGTTAATGAGCATCCATACAAAATGTTATTTCTGGTTGTTATAAATTAACTTATGATATATATATATATAACCAAAAGGTACATTTTCCCAACAGGGGGTGCTTGTTCTCTTAGTGGTCTGTGAGTGCATTGTAAGGGATACATGAAAATATTCTGTTTCTCATCTCATAAAATAAAATAGGGCTAAGATCTGTTAAACTTTGTGAGTTTAGTTTGATTTTATTTTGTATTTATTTTGATTTTGTATTAGCTTCTGGGCAACATATTTATTTATTTTAAGCTGGAAAGAATAAAATGCCAAAGAATGAAATGCTCAAGTTAAAAAAGATTAAATAAAATATTTTATAATCAGTTATGGTACATTTCACCTTTTTTTCAGTCATCAATACTTTTGTCTATGGGAGCCCATTTCCGCCACATGAAAGTAAAAAACCAAATAGAAAGTTAATGTTATTAGATACAAAGTAATAATTTCGACTATCAGAGAAATAATTATGAGATCAAAGTAATAATTTCAACTTTCAAAGTCATAATAATGGGATAAAAAGTAATAACTTCATCTTTCAAAGTCATAATGATGAAATAAAAAGTAATAATTTCCACTTTCAAAGTCATAATGATGAAATAAAAAGTAATAATTTCCACTTTCAAAATCATAATGATGAGAAACAAAGTAATAATTTCATCTTTCAAAGTCATAATGATAACATACAATTAGATACAAAATGAAATTATTACTTTTATTCTCATAATTATGACTGCCTATTTGGCTTTTTTTTTTTTTACTTTCATGTGGCAGAAACGGGCTTCCATATTGTCTGAGGGTAACCCTAAAATGCCCACAGGGCTGCACATGGCAGAAAATGTGGGGAAACCACTGCCCCTAAAGGTGAAAAATAAAAACTCCATTTCCCATGTCTCCCTTCGTGCGCGCACACGTGCTCTCGCTGGATAGCGAGCATGAAGTGAAGCGTTATTAAAATCCTGGATGCATTCTGCTGCTGTATTTTCTATCTGCGTATTTCTCTGTGTCTGCGGCTCATCATGGGCTCGATGGAAGACGCCGCTCTGCTGGTTTTAATCCACCAACACCTGAAGGCCAGCGGCTACAGGGACGCTGCTCAGCTGCTGGAGGAACATCTAATCCAGGTGAGAAGTTGCTCCTCAATTAAACTCAGCTGAGCAGACCTCTGAGCTCAGTTCAACCACCCTCTACAATATTATTGCTCATTTCAGAGCGGACATGCGCGTCTTACATGTTATATAAGAAGTTTAAT